GGAAATCGCCTAATTTCACCATCATATTTGAGGGACAATTTTGCCGGGTATATAATTCTTGGTTGAAAATTTTTCTCTTTCAGGGTTTTATTTATACCATCCCATTGTCTTCTCGCTTGCATGACCTCTGCTGCAAAATCAGAGCTTATTCTTACTGGCTGACCTTTGTATGTAACTCTTTGTTTTTCTTATGCTGCTCTCAGGATTCTGTCTTTGTCCTTGGTTTTGGTTAGTTTGATGATGATATGTCTAGCTGATCTTCTTTTGGGGTCTATCTTGTTTGGGGTTCATTAGATTTCCTGAATGGATATATTGTCCTCTTTGATCATATCAGGGAATTTCTCCTCCAGCAAATCTTGGATGATTTTCTCAGTGGTTTTATTTTTCTCTTCCTGTTCTGGAATTCCAATGACACGTAGATTATGTGTTTTGATGGTATCCCACATGAACCTTAGGCTTTCTTCATTTTGTTTTGATTTTTTTCTGACTGATCTCTTTCCAAAGAAGTATTCGGGTATTTATCTTCAATCTCATTAATTCTGTCTCCCATTGCATCAGGTCTACCCCTTTGCCCTTCCAGCGTGTTATCTATTTCTGACAATTTAGTATTAATCTTCTGAATTTCTGTCTCTAGATTTAGAATTATTTCCAATTTTTCATTTATTTTGTCATTTTGTTCTTATATTTTCTTCCAAAATTCTCCTAAGTTTTTTCTGTGTTTTCTTTGGTCTGTCTCTCAATCCTTTGATGATACGTAAATATTAATTCTTTTGAATTCCTTATCAGAGAGTTCCAATGCTGCTTCTTCCTCAGGGATGTGTTCTGGGTCTGTAACATGTTCCCTTGTTTCTACCACTTTATCTTGCTTCTTTGTGTGGACTGTGATGGTCTGTTGTCTCCGAAGTATCCTGGTATTATATTAAGATCTCTGTTAATTGTTTTTGAATAGCAGCCAAGGGTGATTCAGGCTGTGCTTGGTGGTTTTTTTATCGTTGGCCCATTGCAGAGAAGGAGGTGCTGGCTCTTGCTCAGTAACTGAAGTTGCAGGAGGTGTGGGTGTACTTGTGTGTTAAGGGGATTGTTGCTCTCTCCTACTCAGTTAGGCAAAAATTGCAATTGAATCACCACTGAAAACACTAAGAACACATGGACAAAAAATGCACGCTGAAATCACACAGGAACAGTAACCCAAAAAAAGAAAAAGTGGAGAAAAGAAGAAGAAAACAGGTAAATATGCAATATCTGGGGATAGGTCACTAAGAGAAAAAAGGTAGAGAAGCAGAATAATGAAGAAAGAAAACAAACTAACAAACAGGCAAAAAAAAAAAAAAAAAAAAAAAAAAAAAAAAAAAAAAAAAAAAAAAAACCAACAAGGAATGGGGTTAACCATGAGAGAGGGAAAAAAAAAAGAAGGTATAAGCTAGGACCTTTTCAGTCGTGTAGTGCAGGTCTGAGAAGTTCTTGGGGTTACTGGAAAGCAGAACCTCTTCTTAAGCCTTTGGAATCTGGTAGAGCCCTGTCTCTTTAGGTTGCCTCTAGCTGCTGGTTACATGTTGATTTGTTTTGTCTTAGTTTTATAGTTTAATATTTTGAAAAGGTAAAGCTGGTGTGTTTTATTTTATTGTTGATTCAGGTGTGTTGGGTGGCTCTGCTATTTTCTTTGTGATGGTGGAATCACTGTAGTGTGAATATGTGTTTCTGTTTTTCTTAAAGATTATTTAGAGTTCGAAGCGGGAGGTTTTATTGTAATTGGCTGAATATGGCTTCTTCTATTGAATGAGTGAAGTTATTGGTAGAGAAGGTGGAAGCAGAAGGAAAGCTTGGTGTTGCTAGGGTCAGTTTCTAGGGCTTTGAGCAGGCTATTATCGATGACGTATTTATTTGCAAAACTGCGGCTCAACCTCAGGAAAGATTCCTATTGTTAGAGGGTCGCAAAATCCTGCCAATTTCAGGCACACTCAAAGACCCTGCCTCCGTGGCCCCACAGTGCCTCCGTGGCCCCACAGTGCCAAAGCACGGCTCCAAGCCAAAATCCGTGGGACCACACTCACTTGCGGCTTCTTTGCTCTCTGTGCCCCATCTGCCCGTGGTGCTGACGCAATCCCGCCAGACCACTAATGGCCGGCTCTGGAGTTTGTCTGTGATACTGCCCACCTGTGACGCCAAAGATGCATGCAATTTCAGCTGTGTTGGAGTCGGGGGAGTACCTGCTAGTGACCTGCAGTCCCGATATCCGTGGCAAAGAAAAGCATGATATCTCCCAGTCTGACCCAAGCCCTCTCTGTGATCCGCTGGGAGGGGAGGGAGCTAGCCTTTCTGGTGCAACAGTGAGATCTCCGCCTGAATCTCAGCAGTGGTGCCCGTGTCCGCCTGCACCCAGATGAACCAAATTACAGACAAAATCAGCTGCTGGAGGCAGGTCTCTCTGCTGCTGCCCACTGGAATATTGTAGTGGTTGCTAGTATGCTGCTATAAGGTGACTTCCTCCTTGGCTCAGGAACCTCAGGCGGCCCCCCTCGCCCAGTAGACAGTGACTGCCCCAGGAAAGTTTCCAGTGCTCTATCTCAGGTGCCCATCTGTCCTCCTCCAGCAGCTCTTTCCTAAATAATCTCCCTGTGCCTTTCCTCTAATTCTGCTCTTCTGTGTTTGGTGCACACTGATTCAGTGAGCTGTTCAGAGCACCAAAGTTCCTAATTCAAACCATTGTACCTAGTTTTCAAAGTCCTCAGATGCCAAAGGGAAAAAAATCGTGCTGCTCCCTGGTGAGACTCCATTTTGAATCAACCCCAAGGCAGTAAATCTTTACGGAAGTAGATGGCCCAGTCTTCTTATGTGGAGTGGCTGGTGGGTTTGAACCACCAGCCTTCTGGTTAGCAGTCAAATGCCTTAGGCACTATGCCACCTTTAGCTATTGTGGTGTTGTTATATGCTGTCAAGTCAGCCCTGACTCATAGTGACCCCTCCTTGGGTTTCCGAGGCAGTATCACTATGAAAGTAGATTGCCCAACCTTGCTTCTGAGGAGTGGCTGGTGGGTTTGAACCACCAGCCTTCTGTTTAGCAGTCAAGTGCCTTAGGCACTATGCTACCAGAGCTTCTCTTTAGCCATTGTTGTTGTTGTTGTTGTTATGTGCCGTCGAGTCGGCCCCGACTCATAGCGACCCCTCCTTGGGTTTCCGAGGCAGTATCACTACGGAAGTAGGATTGCCCAACCTTCCTCCCGAGAAGTGGCTGGTGGGTTTGAACCGCCAGCCGTCTGGTTAGCAGGAAAGTGTCTTAGCCACTATGCTACCAGACCTCCTTTAGCCATTAGAGAGATGTAAATCAAAACAACAATGAGATATTATCTGAACCCAGTACTAATAAATAGCAAAGTTAAAAAAAAAATGCTGGTAAGGGTGTAGTGTCTAGAACCCTCCTACACTGCTGGTGGGACTGTGAAATGGTGTTCCAGCCACTGTGAAAAACAGTATTGTGTTTCCTTAAAGAGCTGGGAATAGAAATACCATTTGATCCAGCAATCCCACTATTAGGTATATATCCTAGAGAAATAAGATCCATGACTCAAACAGATATACTCACACCCATATTCTTCGCAGCAGTGTTCACAATAGCAAAAAGAAGGAAGCAGTCTAAATGCCCATTCAGCGGAGAAATAGATCAACAAACTGTGGTACATACACACAATGGAATATTACATGTTAAAGAACTGATCGGTCTGTGAAACGTTTCATAATGTACATGACCCTGGAGGACATGTGAGTGAAATTAGTCAATAACAAAGAGAAAATACTGCATGAGATCACTATAGTAAAAAGTCAAGAGGACAGTTTCAGACAAAAAGAAATACTCTTTGATGGTTACCAGGGGTGGGAGAATAAACGACTAACTAAAGGGTAGATGCATATTACCTTGGGTAAAGGGAAAGGCCAAAAAAGAGACAACAATAAAATTATTTATTTGGTTTATATTTCAGTGTTTCATCAACTGCAAAACTGAGAAAATACTTCCCAGGTCTGGTGTGCTTTTGAAAATAATATTTATGGTTCATAAAAATGTACATTCAGATTATTTGAAATGAGCATATGTTAAGGGCGTTTAAGCATATACAAATATTTAATCTCACAAAATATATTGGGAATATTTGTACTGTAAAGGGCCCTCAATTTGCCAAGGAATTCAATACTAAGTTATTTTTTAAGTTGTAGTTATTTTTTTTCCAGCCTTTACAAAAATAAATACTGGTTCTGCCCCTTATGAGCAGTTGGACTTTTACTTGAATCATTTCAACCACTCATGTTCCTCACCTAGCAAACAAAATGATAATGGGACCTACCTCATGGGTTTGTTATAAAGATTAAATAAGTTAATACATACAAAGCTCTGAGAACAGTTCCTGGGACAGAGTGAGCACTCTGTGCACATTAGTTAGTGTGAGTCATAGTACTAGTAGTAGTTGCTGTAAAGGGAGATTAAAAAGCACACCCATCTTGGGTTTGTTTTGAGGATGAAATGAAGGAACAGGTATAAAGCACCAGGCACAGTGCCTGGTATATCACAAATGCTTGGGAAATAGTAGTTGTGTCTCTTAAACTGTGGCTGTTTCCTCTGGTATAGATGGTGAAAGGCTATTCTAACCGGGCCCGGAAAGCTCGTTTGGCAGAGCCCCAGCTGCAGGACCATAATGACCTGGGCCTGTTTGGCCACTGGCAGACAGAGGAGTACCAGCCCCCTGTGGCTGTGGATGGGAAGGTAAGGGCAGCACTCAGCAGAGCAAGGACATTCTTCTTCATCCTCCAACCAACCACATCCTGGTGTACCCTCCTTCCCAGGTCCCCCGGAATGAGTTTGGGAATGTTTACCTCTTCCTGCCCAGCATGATGCCCATTGGTTGTGTCCAGCTGAACCTACCCAACCTGCACCGCGTGGCTCGCAAGCTGAACATTGACTGCGTGCAAGCCATCACTGGCTTCGACTTCCACGGAGGCTATTCCCACCCTGTGTGCGTGAGGGACTCCAGTGGAGGCAAAAAGAAAGAGGATGAGGTTACAGAGATGGGAGTGGGAAGTTGTGGCCTGGTAGGGTTGAGGCCTATTGGCTTTCATTTTCACATTTTTACAATGGATTTGCAGAGTAAACCTTAATACTTCACCAATCCTTGTATCAAAGCCAGCATCCTAACAATGCTGGATTGAAACACTGTTTCCTGGCAGTAGTCACAGAATCAGCATCCTTCCTGAGGGGCTACTGGGTTGCTATTCTGTTCTGCTGTGTGGTGGGGAAGAAGCTGCTGGTCCAGTTTCTCTAGGCCTGCCTTCTGCAAGGGTGGTATCTTACTAGCTACTAGTCACCATTGTGAACTAGCTAACCCAGGAAGTCCTTCAGGGCACATGTGTTTAGGAGTGCCCACCACCCTCTGCAGAGGGAGGCAGAGAGGCCACAGCAGTGAAGCAGGCTCACTGAAGATCACCCATTTTATGTCCTCACAGAACTGACGGGTACATTATCTGTGAGGAATACAAAGATGTGCTCCTGGCCGCCTGGGAAAATGAGCAGGCACTCATCGAAAAGAAGGAAAAAGAGGTGAGCAGCCTTTCAAGGGGCCAGCCAGGGGCGGTGCTGATGTGGGGATAGTGACAGCCATTTTGTTCCCATCCCTGGGCCTCACCTACATCATGTATAAAAAGAGGAGAGAATAGATGAGCTTTAAAGAGAGGTCCTGCTCTCTTCATGAAGGCACATGGGGAGCCAACTCTGTATCAAGCAGGGTCCTGCCTATACCTCAAAATCCACTATTGGGTCCTTGATCTCTCTGGCTCCAGGGACCATTGTCCCTGTACCAAAACCTACATCAGTCTTTAGAGGAATTGCCTATAGTCCAGGCTCTAAATGACTCCTAAAATTTCAGAGCCAGTGACAACAGACCCCTATTGGCACATTATTACTTGGTTGCTAACTAAAAGGTTCACAGTTCAAATCACCCAGCAGCTCTACAGGAGACATGGTGATCTGCTTCTGTAAAGATTACAGCCTAGCAAACCCTGTAGGCAGTTCTCCTCTGTCGCATGGGGTCGCTGTGTGTTAGAAATGGACTTGACGGCACCCAGTAATACAACAGTTGTGGTTCAGTGGTAGAATTCTTCCATTCCATGTGGGAGCCCAGGGTTCAATTCCCAGCCAGTGCACCTTATATACAGCCACCACCTGTGTCTCAGAGGAGGATGAAAGGCCTGGCAGTCCACTTCCAAAAATCAGCCAATGAAAACCCTAAGGATCATAATGGCTCAATCTACAGCCAGTCATGGGGGATAGACTGGGCATTGTTTTGTTCCATTGTATGAGGTTATCATGGGTTGGGGTCAACTCAATGACAGTTGTTGTTGTTGTTATGTGCCATCGAGTCATACCCGACTCATAGCGACCCCTCCTTGGGTTTCCGAGGCAGTATCACTACGGAAGTAGGATTGCCCAACCTTCCTTCCAAGGAGTGGCTGTTGGGTTTGAACCGCCAGCCATCTGGTTAGCAGGCAAGTGTCTTAGCCACTATGCTACCAGGGCTCCCCAATGACAGTAAATAATGGCAATAATTGAGAGGCTTTTGTATTTGGTGGTTTTATAAAGTATCACTTTATAAATGATGTCATTTTTTAAATAAAAATGATATTTGGAGTGATTGAGAAACTTTTTTAACCTAAAATTTTATATGTATCTTTATGTACATATTCACAGGTTCATCTAGATATTCCTTTTCCTGAAAATATTGGTGCTTATTTAATATTTTATGTTCTCCCATTTTTTTTCTGATCTACAGAAAAAGGAGAAACGGGCTCAAGGGAACTGGAAGCTGCTGACCAAGGGACTGCTCATCAGAGAAAAGCTGAAGCTTCGCTATGGGACCAAGGTCAGTATGGACTTTTGTAAAGAAAGCAAGCCAGGGTCACTTTCCTGGGGTTCCAATTCAAAAATCACTGGTCAGATCCTGAATGACTATGTCATGACATTCCTCTGCCTGTTCCTCCAAGGGAAGGCATTCCAGGAGTCAGACCTCTGCTGGCTCTTCCAGCGCCAACCCTGTCCCAACATCCTCTATACTACCCCTACCTGCACGAGTGTCTGCTGTGGTCTGGTCTGTACTAACCGCCTCCCAGGAGGGGTGGTGGCCCGCCATGTCTGTCTGATGTGCCATGCCCAGGCTCCCTTTGCTCCCAGTGCCTCCTGCCACCCTTCAGGCTAAGGTTGCTCAGCAGCACGCCTCAGCAGCACCAATGTACCAGGCCAGGCAGAACTGGCATGCAGCCCTACCTCAAAGGGCTCTCACACAGGGGCAAACAGATCCTGTTATGTAGGATGACCAGTGTCGGAGACCACAGAAACCTGCTCTGGACACAGCTGGGACCACACCTCTCTGCTTTGCAGCCCCACTCTAGCCCTGCATGCTGCCTATTTGCCTTTAAAAAATATTTTTGTCATACGTCTCTGAAATCCTTTTAGTGACCTCTTTGGCTTTATGTTTTGACTGGCTCCTTGCTGACCTGCCCATGCATTTTCCTGCCCATGTGGCTTCATGCTAACCATCTAAACTCTCCTTGGCCAACTTCTTCCCTTTCCCTAGGCATTTGTTCCCTCAGATCATTTAGCCCAAAGAGCTGACACTATACATCTGAGCAGTTAAAGATACACTGTACTTTTATTTTTATATTAATAACAACTCAGGTTGTGCAGGCACTTAAATTATTTCTGTTGTTGAAAATGTACACAGCAGATCATACACCAGTTCAGCAGTTTCTACATGTACAATTTAGTGACAGTCTTCAAGTTGTGCAACCGTTCCTACCCTCCTTTCCCAAGTTGTTCCTCTCTCATTGACATAAACTCACCAGCCCCTAAGTTTCCTGTCTAATTCTTTGAATTGTGTTATCAGTTTGATCCCATATAGCCAAAAAACCAAACTCACTGCCATGGAGTTGATCTGGACTCATGACGGTCCCCATTGGATTCCCAAGGGAAGTAGATTTCCCCATCTTCCTTCCATGGAGTGGCTGGTGGGCTTGAACTGCCAACTCCTAGTTAGCAGTCAAATGCATTAAACACTATACCATCAGAGCTCCTTGATAGATCTCAAAGGAGCATATTGTGCAACACAATCATTCTTTACAAGAGAAATTTCTTTGGCTTTAAGACTTCAGGGGATATTTTTGATTTAAGGTTTAAACATTATCTCAGGACATTAGTTTTAGGGATTCATCACCCTCCATGGTTCTAAAAAGTCTGGAGCCCCTGATAATTTGAAATTCTGTACTGCATTTTTCTTCTTTTGATCAGAATCCTTCTATAGAATCTGTGATCAAAATGTTCAATAATGGTAGCTGGGCACCATCTGGTCTTGTGGCAAAAGAAGTTGTTCGTGGGGGCAGTTAGTCAGACATTCCATTCCTGACTCTCCTTCCTTTGTTGTCCAGGTGGAATGAGATCAATAATTTGTGTCTGGAATGGCTGCTTACAAGCTTTTAATACCTAGGATGTAGAACAGAAGCACTAAACACGTTATTATGCTAATTAACTGGGATTGCCCATGAAACCATGACCCTAAACCTCCAAACAAAGGAGACATCCCATGAGGTATACGGTTGTACATAAGCAGCCTGAAGATACTCTGGTGGCACAGTAATTAAGGCGTTTGGCTGCTAACCAAAAGATCAGTGGTTCAAACCCACCAGCTACTCTGTGGGAGACAGATGAGGCCGTCTGCTTCTATAAAGATTTATAGCCTCGGAAACCCTACGGGGGCAATTCTGCTCTGTCCTGTAGAGTTGCTATGAGTCAGAATAGACTTGATGACAGTGGGTTTGGGTTGTTTTGATTTAAGCATTCTCAGCAGCTTGCTTTTTTTTTTTGTTTTTTTTCTTTTTGTCATCGTAAGTCTGTCACACAACTTTTGCCAATTCAACTTTTTACAGTTGTACACCTTATTGACAGAAATTATATTAATCAGCTATGCAACTCTATACTTAATCAGTGCAGTTTTTTCTATCACTGTAAACTGGAAGTCAGTACTCTACAGTAATCTCCCATTTTCCCTCCCTGCCACCACTAGTGACCACTAAGAAACTTTGATATCTGTATATGTGCTTGTTCTTGTATTTCTGTATAAGTGAATCACACAATATTTATCTTTTTGTGATTGACTTATTTCACTCAGCATAATGCCTTCAGGTTCTATCCATATTATAATATGTGTCAAGACTTCATTTATCTTATGGCTGAGTAATATTCCATTGTATGTATGTAACACATTTTGTTTGTCCGTTCATCTGTTCATGGGCATTTAAGTTGTTTTCACCTTTTAGCTATTGTGAATAGCGCTGCAGTGAACATCATCAGTGTACAAGTATCTGTTTGAGTCTTTGCTTTTAAGGCTCTTGGGTATGTACTTAGGAGTGGAATTACTGAGTCATACGAGAGTTCTATTTTTATTTTTTGAGGAACCACCACAGTTTTCCACAATGCCTACACCATTTTACACTTTCACCAGCAATGGATAAGGGTTCCAGTTTCCTCACATCTTTGCCAACATTTGTTATTTTTGTTGTTTTTGTTATTTTAGTCATCCTGTTATTGTTAGGTGCCATCAAGTCGGCTCCAACTCATAGCCACCCTCTGTACTACAGAATGAAACACACTGCCTAACCCTGCACCATCCTCACAATACCTGAGCCTGTCGTTGCAGCCACTGCGTCAGTCCATCTCGTTGAGGGCCTTCCCCTTTTTTGCTGATGCTCCACTTTACCAAGCATGATATCCTTCTTCAGGGAATGGTCCCTTCTGATAATATGACCAAAGTAGATGGGACAAAGTCTGGCCATTCTTGCCTCTGAGGAGCATTCTGGCTGTACTTCTTCCAGGACAGATTTGTTAGTTCTTCTGGCAGTCCTTGGTACTTTCAGTATTCTTCACCAACACTACAATTTAAAAGCATCAACTTTTCTCCAGTCTTCCTTACTTGTTGTCCAGCTTTCACATGCATATGAGGCTATTGAAAATACCATAGCTTGGGTTAGGTGCACCTCAGTCTTCAAAGTCACAACTTTGCTCTTCAACACTTTAAAGAGGTCTTCTGTAGCAGATTTGCCCAGTGCATTATGACCCTGTAGATTGGCTAAATTCCTCAGGTTTTTTTTTTCAATTTTTGTTGTGAACTGGGTGAAAGTTTACAGAGCAAATTCATTTTCCATACAGCAGTTCACACACATTTTGTTTTATGACATTGACTGCAGTTCCCCACAATGTAACAGCTCTCCTCCCTGTAGTTACCGCTTCCCTGTGTCCTTCCTTCCTGTGCATTCCCTGAGCTATCTCCCTGTGCAAATACTGCCCTTTTGTTTTCCCATGATTGATTGTTCTAAGGAGTGTATAAATCTGATGTAAATGTTCATCCTGTATGCCTGTTGGTTGTTTGGCGGGAAGCCACAGAAGTGAGTTCAGTTCCAGACCTCAAGGGTGACCAGGGGCCATAGTCTCCAGGGTCTCACCAGGCTCTAATCCAACTAGTAAACTTCATCTTTTTTTTTTTTTAATGATTTTATGAGTTTTGTCCCACTTTGTTCTCCCACTCTCTCCAGGATCTCCTACATAGATCTCTTTCCGAGTGTTTGACAGTGATAGCTGGGCACCATCTAGTTCTGGTCTCATGGTCATATAGACTGAGGTTCACATGGTCCACTAGCCCCTCGGACTAATTGTTTTCATCCGTATTTGGTTTTCTTCTTCTTTGCTCTGGACAAGGAGAGACCCATTGTTGCATCTAGATGGCCACATGCAACCTTTTAAGACTTGAGTCACTACTCACCAAAGTAGGAGGTAGAATATTGTTTTTGTGTAGTATGTTATGCCAGTTGAGCTTAATGTCCCCTGCAACCATGGCCCCAAGCCCACAGGTCCAGCAACTCACCAACCTTATATATGGTCATGGGCATATTTCCTTTTGCCTAGACTATTGTTATTTCTATAAGTTTTCTTGTGAACTCTGAGATTTTCTGTATATAGGAGTGTATCATCCATGAGTAGAGATAGTTTTACTACCTCTTTTCCAATCTGGATTAATTTATTTATTTTTCTTTTCTTACTGCTCTCACTAGGAATTCAAATACAGTATTGAATAGAAGTGGTGAGAGTAAGCACCCTTGTCCTTTTCCTGATTTGAAAAGGAAATAAACAAACAACGCCTATTGGCTTTTCATGTATGCCCTCAGTCATATTGAGAAATTTCCTTTCTATTCCAATCTTCTTGAGGGCGTTGAAGAGTTGAAGGTGTTAAGAAAGGGTATTGAATTCTACCAAATGTTTTTTCTGTTTTTATAGAGATGATCATGTGGCTCTTTTCCTTTGTTCTACTGATGTGGCATATTACATTGATTTATTTATCCCACTTGGTCATGGTGTTTGCCTCTTTTAACATGCTGTTGGATTCTATTCATAAGTATTTTTTTTACTATAAGGGATAAAAAAAAAAAAACCAAACTCTGCCATCCAGTCGGATCCAACTCATAGTGACCCTTCTTTGGATTTCCAAGGCAGTATCACTACACAAGTAGCTTGCCCAGTATTCCTTCTGTGGATAGTGACTTGTTTTCTTTTCTTGTGGAGTCTTTGTCCTGTTTTGGTATCAGGGTTATGTTTCCTTCCTAGAATGAATTAGAGAGTACTCCTTCCTTCTCTGTCTTTTGAAAGAGTTTAAACAGGATTGGTGTATTTTCTTAGTGATTACCAGGAATATTCCATTTAACAGCTGGTGGTGTAGTACCTGAGGCATTTGACTACTAACCAGAAGGGTGGTGGTTCAAACCCACCAGCCACTTCTCAGAAGGAAGGTTGGGCACTCTACTTCCATAGGGATAGCACTTTGGAAACCCAAAGAGGGGTCTCGGTGAGTCAGGACCGACTCAACAGCAGTGAGTTTGGTTTTTCTTTTTGAGGGTAAACTTGTACCTACTTCTTGTTGTTGTTATGTGCCGTCAAATCAGACCCAACTCATAGCAACCCCTCTTGGGTTTCCAAGGCGGTATCATTATGGAAGTAGATTGCCCAACCTTCCTTCTGAGGAGTGGCTGGTGGGTTTGAACTGCCAGCCTTCTGGTTAGCAGTCAAGTGCCTTAGGCACTATGCTACCAGAGCTCCTTGTTGCCCCATAATTTCTTTAAATCGTTGCCCCATAATTCCATTAAATTATGTCCAGTCGTCTTGACTTTCCATTCTTATTCTCTTCAGCCTCTGTAATTTTGTTTTATCCTCTACTTCACTATTCTTACTTCTGCCTGATTAAATCTGTTAAATCCTTCCAGTATGTTTCTCATTTCAGTTTTTTTGTCCCTTTCAGTTGCAGTATTTGGTTGATTTCTTTTTCTAGTTTTAGGTCCTAATTTAGTTCTTACATTGTTTTCCTTATTTCTTTTAGATCTTTGTCTGTGTTTTCCCTTAACTCTTTCATTATGTTTCCAAAACCAAACCAAACCCACTACCCTCAAGTCAATTCTGACCCATAGCAACCCCCATTGGATTTCTGAGGTGGTAAATCTTTCAATAGATTGCCCAGTCTTCCTTCCATGGAGTGGCTGGTGGGTTTGAACTGCCAACCTTCTGGTTAGCAGTCAAATGCCTTAAGCACTGCACCACCAGAGCACCTTTTCATTATGTTTAATGTTATTAAATTATATTCTTCCATTTTTTGCATTATAGTCTTCCAGTAGATATGCTTTCACCCTATAAAGTACTTTTGATCAGGATAACAGTTGCAAAGCACAAGTCACAGTTATTTTCTAGATTTGACTGTGAGCTGGCCCAACATCTCTGCACTCCAGTGTCACGGCAGGCTCTCTCGGACCTGCTTACATGAGCCTGCATCTGAGGAAGACATACTAGAGCCATAGTGGGAAGCATGACTTGGAATGCTGATGAGGACAACTAGGCAGTTCTTGGCTCTTCCCACCCAATGCCTGTGTCTCCAGAGCCATACTGCCCAGTCTGGCTGGTAGCTGGTCCAATTTCCAGGAGCTATACTGCCTCCTGATAGCACTCCCTGATGTCTCTTCACTGACATGTGCCATGTTTTCCCTCTTGTCTCCCACCTCTGCAGAGTGAGGCAGTAGCTCCCCATACAGATGCAGGTTGTGGGCTCTCTTCTGATGAAGAGGAAGGGACCAGCTCCCAAGCAGAAGCAGCCATGATCTTGGCTGCCTCTTGGCCCCAAAACCGAGAAGCTGAAGACCAGAAGCAGAAGTGCCCTAAGAAGACCAAAAGAGAAAAGAAAGAGGCAGCTTCCCATCTGTTTCCATTTGAGAAGCTGTGATGCTGGTTTCACCTTATCATGTGCTCCACTGCTGCAGATCTCCACCTGCCCTTGGTGGGTGCCCAGGTCCCATGGCAGTGGCTTTTCTGCTGAGAAACAGAAGCTGCATCTGCTGCAGACACTGGCCAGAGGACAGAAAGTTCACATTGAAGTTACTCTGCAGTTCACTCTGGCTCTACCCCTTGTTGGACTCACCCAGGATAGGCTTTCAAAGCTTTTTGCTATAAAGTCATGCCTAGCCTTTGAGCTGTGGGAGAATTCCCCAGAGACACTTTTCTGCCACCTTGGCCATGTTCTTCCTATCTTTGGAAATTCAGGTCAGCTCTTTAGACACCACTGGGGACCTTTTAGATGATGATGTATTGAGGAATGCAGCAATCATTTCCTCTAGTTAGATCCTACATCTGTCAAACACTGTGCTGTTTCTTCTTGCGACTTTCTTTGAAGGCCACTTATTTTTTCTGAATCAGGTTTACTAATACTGCCTAATGTTGCTGTTTGTCACACGAGAGAGCGCAAGTGCACATCGTCTACTTTTTTAAGTCACATTCTGTGGTTGCAGAAGACTAAAACTAAGCTAAAATCAGGAAAACAAAATTAAAAACACAAATTGAGAATTAAGGAAATGTTAGTGGAAGTAGACCAGTGTTAAACTAGATTTTATTCATTACTGGATAAATCTACAAAGCTTTATGTACTATAGATACTCAAATAACTTTCATAGTACTTTGAGAAAAAAATAAAACATTTATGTAAAAAGACTCGACTCCATATTTTCTTTCAGTTTTTATGTCAGTTAAGAACACCTGGATGATACGTTGGGACTACACTAAAAATAAGATGGTGATTTCCTTTAAGTTCTTCATTACACATGTAATTCTACACACACACACCCCCACACCCCCACACCCATGTTCAAAGCAGGAGATGCTGCTTAATCCTTGACAGGAGCCATTGAAAATCTGAGTTAGTTTTATCCCAGGGAAACAAACAAAACACTTGGGATGTGACTCATATGTAGCAGGAGCCTGGCTGGCACTGCTTTTGTTGAGAAACACACTGATGTTGCTATGGAAACTGCACTCACACTTCCTGTATCAGAACCCAGAGTCCTAGAGGTAAGGCAACTTGTTTTTGGTGTTTTGAGTCAAGGGTATTGTCCTATGTCTGGAGAAACAACTTGTTACTCAGGGAGATGCTGGTTGTTAGGCATTCTGGGAATGAAATAAAACATCAGATTTTGAGAAATATGAGTGTCTTTTGGAAAGCTGCCTCACCTATTTCAAATCCTGTAACAAAGAGTAAGAAAGATAATTGCTAGCTTCAGGGTGGACAGTGAGGTGTTTCATGGGCTTTATCTGAGGTAGAAAGGCATTTTCCCCATTTTAGATGAGAAACTGAAGCTGTGATCACTGATTTGCCCACCGTCCCACATCAAGTCAGTAGCAGACTTGGACTTGGACTCAGGTCTGGTTGCTCACCCAGAATCCATGATGCCCTTTGTACTATTTCATAGTGCTGTCCCATTCCACCTCTTCTAACACATTCTGAAGATGCATGAAGTATGAGTCATTCACTTTATTTAAATCAAGCCAAAACAAAGTAGGCATTGGTATGTAAGTAAGTCTCCCTAAGTGCTAGGAATAATGAGTTGCCATTTTTTTTAAAAAAAAAGAGGTTGAAAAAACTTTAACCACTAAAAACAATTGAGAACTGAGTTTTAAAAATGCATCATTAAGTTCTATGACTAAATTATTTTAAGATAAAATTTCAGAAAGAATGCAAATAAAAGATAATGCCAAGGTTCTATACCAAAAGATTTAAACTTTTATTTTACATTTTTATCAAAAATACAAAGATAATACAAATATTATGGTGATTTTTCAGTCTTCAAATTTTTCTCAACATTATTTTGCTCTCTGAGAACAGTTTTCAGTTTCATTAAAAATCTGTTTGTTAGAAAAAAAATTACACAAATCAAATCCCAAGGATTTTGTATTTAGCTGGCATCTAGTTGTACTATGTCTTTAAAAACATCCTGTAAGGGTTTAGCGATTAGATGACCAACCAAAACCAAGCCCACTGCTGTCAAGGATTAGATGAACTTGCTCATTTAATAAGCAGTTGTGAATACTAATTCAGTCCTGAAACCCAGATCAATCATCTGTGAGGCTGGCTATCTGTTTTTAACACAGACTCTAGAGCACAGATACCTCAGGACAACAGAGATTGAGTCACCAGTTTAAGAAGTTCTGACCCCTTATTCAACTATCAAATCCTTATTTGCTAAAGCAACCATTCCTAGCAAGGGCAATATAATTTCTGAATATTAGCAAAAGGATCTTTTAAGACATCAAGTTTACAACACTTTAAACTGGTGTGAAAGTAGTTGGGAAACTTAGAAACTACCTAAATTAAGCATGGGTGGCTTTTATCTAAGAGGCAGCTATGGAGACAACACATACCAGAATCTCCCAAAGCAGCCTTGTGAGGCTTGGATGCCAGTGTCAGAAAGCACTGCATGATAAAGGGAACAGGCCAGATGTGTGTACTGTACAGCCAGTGTGCAGCCTGAGTCTTGATTTTGGTTGATTGGGGGCCACTGTGCAGGAGCCCACTTAGTATAAAGCTTCCAATCGTTTAATGATTGACTAAAAACACATAACTATCTTCACATAAATGGGCAATTTCTGATACCAGAGGATGGAAGGAAACACTTTTCGCCATCCTATAGAGATTCTCCTCAACTCAAGGTGAAAAAAATTCCTTGCTAACACTTTTTTCAAAAGTTTCCCAATAACCCAGAATACTGAAAAGTAACTTTTAATTTTTACCAACTAAGCCACACCCCAATGTAACACTTTTCCTATGCTTTGAATTAACCTCAACTGACAGATTAAAAGGTGTTATCTGTAACAGTATGAAATGTCAATAATTCAGAAGTGGTTTTTTGTTTGTCTTTTAAAACGTCAAAAAATTCCCTTTTGCAGCAAGAAAGTACACTAGAAGAGACTATTAATCATAGCAAAGCTTATAAACAGGACTTGTAGAAATCCTATAAACCAAAAAGATTCTGCCAAACCATAAAGTTAGTATAAAGCCCAATAAATGTCCCAATTTCTTCTCATCGTGATGTTGTCAGTGTTACTGTTTTTTAAGTATCAAACCAAGTTCTACCCAAACACTTGGTTTTGGTGCTCTTGTGTTACTGGGCACGTACTTTTGTCTATTGGTAACCCAGTACCGCTTATTAACAAAAACTAAAGGTCACCCTTTAGAATCATAGACAGGTTTGATAGTAGTGGCAGAGTCTTGGCACTTGTCTTCAGTGACAGATACCAGTAAGTAATGCAGCTGAGGCCCTTTATTAGCAGGTCTCTGTGGAGTGTTACTGCATCTTCACCTATGCACAGATGAGCTGAATGAAACAAGCTAACCCGGCCACACACACCAGGTCACAGGAGAAGGGAAGAGAACATGAGAATGCTTGTTACGTTGCTAGATGTAAGCTGCCTCCTGCCCATCAAAGCTGCATATCAGCAAGAGAAGAGATGGGGAAGATGTCAGCTGATGAAACCAAATCCCAGTGGGTGCACGTTGCGGCCTCAGGCCTTTGAAGAGTGGAAGGAATGTGGAAACAAAACCCGATCCAGACTCACGCTGATCAGTGGAGGGAAGTGGTGGGTTTCAAGTGCCGTAGCCTGTTTCACTCCAGCTTCTTAGCCGGCACCCATGTCCGAGCTATAATGATGGGCACCAATGCTAGGCAGCCAATGAAGAGGGCCCATAGGGGCCGGTAGAAGAGCCAGCCAGCAGCCACAGTCAGCAAGGTCAGTGAGGTGGCCACGCAGAAGGCAAAAGCTTTCAGGCCAATGTTGACCAGGTCTCGGAAGACAGGAAACCAGTCCACTGTGAGGAAGGAAAGACGCATAGCTGATTGTTCCCTTCCTAGAAAAAGGTCAGCCCTTGATGCCATGTCAGTAAGAGGGAAGGGTCAGAGTGGTAGAAGGTAGGTAAGTACATACTGGGAGCCAGACAGTCCAGAGAAGGGCCCTCCCAAGCTGTGAGGCTGTGCATGGCCTCAGCCACCCTCAGAATACAGAAGCGATTTGTAAACTTTATTCAGCCTGAGGCCAATATAAAGACATTCAACTGTCTGTTGGAAAATACTGTTTCCTGCATTCTCACAAAGCTTATGGATAGAGCCCTCCAAGGGTGCCTATCTGGGCTGCTCAGCCATCCCTTACAGATTTTGGTTCCTTTAAGCAGCAAGTTGTGACAAAGTATGTGCCCAGCTCTGGACAGCACTGAGAAAAGCATACTAACTAGCCTAAGCCTTGGCCCTGCCTCAGGATCTCACAGGCTGTTGGCCCAATATGATAAAGTCTGTGTTCCAGCTAAATTCACCTGGAATTTAATTTAGGCTGCCTGGCCTCTCTAGGTTGGTACTGGGCAGAATCTTCTGACTAGATGGGGACATACACTAGGGTAAAGGCTTGGATGGAAAGTCCCCTGAGAAGCCCCATCCTCCCTGATCAACACTTAGCCTATAACTTACTTATTCTGGGACTTAAAAACAACCACTCCAGGTCACTTGGGCTTCTTCTACAGGGCTCCCTGGCTCCAGCCTCAGGCCAAGTGAGCAGTCTGGGAAAGTCTCCTGAGCTCCAAACTTGCTGGTTGCCCCAAATCTGGCCCAGGTTTAGGGGGGGGGGGGGGGAAGTAAGTATAACAGTTTTTGAGTGTTTCCTTTTGCCGACATTTCATAAACCTCTGCAAATTAGTTGTGAAATAACTGAAACAGATGGGAAAGTGACTGACCCAAGTACCCAGAACTCTAACAACACAGATTGCAAATGCAAGTCTGGCTCACTCAAAGGTTGGCCAGCCTCCTCCCTGTGGCTATTAGATTACTTGTGGAATGAACAAATGAACGAATGAGCAAGTGAGTGAGCCAGTGCATCAGATCATTAAACCTAGACCTGCCTCCTGTGAGTCTGGCATCGACCCTGCCCTCACCTCCCACTTGTGGTAGGCACTCCATCTTGGTTCTCCTGCCTGCCTTCCTCTGCTCAGTCACCCCAAAGCTATGGAGTGGGTGGCACCCTATCAGTCAGAGAGGTGGTAAGCACAGAGGGAAGCTTTCAGGGCTGCAACTCCCACCCCCCGTCTCCACACCTACCCAGAGTATAGAGGATCCGGGTCATAAGGTTGAGGCCCATAAACATGGCCATCCAGCCGGTGGCCCGCAGGCCCCATGTCTTCATAGAGTTGCTCTTTTGTTCTCTTTGAAACACTTCCTACAAGACAAAGGGGTGATGTGGTGGTCGGACTCTGAGGGGGCATGGTGGGTGTTGAGGGGGCCATGCCAAATCAGAAGTTTCTGGCCATCTCTGAATAGAACAGAGTGAAATAAGGGTAAGCCTCCTGTGCCAGGACAAGGCTTTTAGCCCACCTGGCACAGAACAGGGCAAGGCGTAAGAGATGTCTATGGAAGGTATGAACCCTCCTCCAGCAGATGCCACCTCCTTCAGATTCCTCAGCCCACTGTCTCATCTGCAGTGAACCTGACTCTCCTTCATACTACATCAGTACTTCTCTAGGGCCATTTATCACCATCCCAGAACAGCTTGTTCTGAGTATATGCATGCCAGACACTGTGCAATACTATGTGTAAGTTGTCTGATTTACTCTTGGAACATGGCTTCTGGGACACCTCACTCTCCTTGTTTCTCTCCTACTTCCCAGGCTGCTGCTTCTGTCTCCGCTACTGTTCCTTCTCTTCTTCCTGCCCTGTAAATGCTGACATTCTTTAGCTGGTTGCTTTTCTCTTCTCAGTCTACTCTCTCTTCCCAGGTAATCCTATCCACTGACTCATAAATGTAAATCTGTAGCTCAGGAATCTCGTCTGGGCTTCACACCCATGTAGCTCCCGCTGTCTACCTGACATCTCCCCTTGATGTCTTGGTACATCCAACACTGACATATGAGCCTCCGCTCCAACCCATGTCTCTGTCTTCCTCATCTCAGCAAATGGTACAAGTAGCCACCTGCACAAGCCTAAGCCTAGGTGTCACACTTGACTTGCTTTCTCCTCACTACCACCCATCTAAGTCATCAGCAAGTCCTATCAACCCTATAGCCACATTTTCCCAAAGCTTCTGTCTCCACTGTCAACCCTCTAATCTAAGCCATCACTATCTCTCACGCCTCACAGGGACTACTGCAGTAGCCACCTCCTTGCTTCCACCTGTCACCCCTACACAGAAACCAGCCAAGGCCTTGCTGTTCTGACCCCATGGCCTGCCTCCCAGCCCCACTACCTGTCCTGAGACCAGGTCAGGTGTCTTGTCTTCTTGCCTCTGGGCCTCTCCACACAGCTCCCTCTGCCTAGACCTCATCTGTCTACAGTTGTTCCCAGCCAGCTTCAATACATTCTTCCCCTGTTTAAAATGCCAGTTCTTCAGAGGCTTCCTGATGCCCCATTCTTAGTCAGGCACCCTTGCCATGATCTATAACAATAACAATAATAATAATAGCTAATATCACTATTTATCAGTCACCATCCTAAGTGTTTTATAAATATTTTATGTAATCGTCAAAGTAACTAAGTAGGCACATTTATCGCCATTTTACCAATGAAGAAACTGAAGTTCTGAGAGGATAAGTAACTTGCCCAGGGACTCACTTCAAGCAGTTAACTAAACTCCTAGGTACATGAAGGCAGACTATGTCTGCTCCTTTCTTTATTATGTTCTTGGGGTACAATAAAAAGTTGTTGAATGAATGAATGAATAATCTTCAAAATAACCATGGAAGGTAAGGATGATAACAATAACAACATTAATAAGTAAATAAATATTTCCATTTTACAAAAGAGGAAACAGTCTTAGAAAGGATAAAAAAACAGAGTCAGGAAGGAAAGCCAGGGCCTGAATTAGGGCCTATGTCCCTGCTTATAACCCCTACACTCTCTCCTTCCTGGGGCTACAATCCCGGCATCCTGACTTGCAGGGTCTAGGGTTTGTTCTTGGTGCCCAGGACTGCCTCCATGACTCAGGACTTTCTTTCTCTCTCTGCTTGGCAGAGACCCTAGACCCTGAGGAGAATGGGAATAGCAGGGGATTGTTGGGGGGCAGGTGGGCTGGGGCTACTAAGCAGCCAGAAGCACAGGGTGATCAGAAGGCCTGTCTATCTGCACCATTTGCACTACCCCCCGCCCCCGTGAGGCATCTAAGCCAGGAGCCCCACCCACTCCTCTCTGGTGGGGCAGCTCTGAGACCTAGGCCTCCCTCTGCCTACAGGGGTGGAAGCCAGAGGCTGAGAAAGAGCCCTGGGAGAAAACGAGGTCTGGACAGGGCCTCCTAATTTTAGGAACTAGCCCTCCCCCCCTTTTCCTCCCTAAGGAAAAGACTTAGGGAGCACTCAGAGCTCAGTGGAATGGGTGACTCATGGCCTGCCAGGTTGGGAGGCAGCAACTCCACCCTGAGGTTGGTCACTGATCTCCTGGGCAACATCCCAACCACACCCTGTCCTGGCCAGGTACAAAGAGTAGGTGTGGCCCAAGCATCACCACACGGCTAAGAGATTAAAGTGGAAAGAGTAACAGCTGAGGGCCTAATACAGAGATAAAAGGGTCACAGCTCATCCCTGACACCTGCCCACTGCTTTTACTCTTTCTAACCCTCCTGATAAAAAGTGCCACAAACTATTTTAAGGCCAGCACAGAATGGCCCATCAATGATACACTATGTTCATTAACAACATAAAAACTCTGTTTTTCTGTTAAGAGAAGGATTTCCTGCCTAAAGGTAAGACGCTAACTTTGAAAGCACAAAATTGAACTGATCATTGTGTTTTGTGTCCTTCTCTTTGGACTCAGGTGAGGCAAGACCTTTTCCATGTTACAGATGGAGGAAAGAAGGCCCAAGGAGCCACGGGGGCCTCTGTCTGAGAGGTGCTGGTCCTGGAGTGCCCCAGCTCTAAACCCTCACTGCCTTCCTGAGACTCTTAAAGAAGTACACATCTCACAATATGCCTTTGCTCACAATGCCAGCCTCACCTCTCATGCCCACTCCCCAAAAAGATTCACTCCTCCCTGCCTTGACTGAGCCCTGCCTCCTTCCATCATTTGGGTCTCAGCAAGTATGTCATGCGTCAGAGTACAAATTAGTTTCCTATCCCGGTCCATTGATCTCAGAGCATCTGTTCTTCCTAGCATCACAACAGCACAATCTGCCCTTCCTTACTAGCTTTTCTGATTAGTTTGTCCCACTCAACCAAAGGCATGTGGCACAGAGTCTGCTTTGCTTGCTATTCTCTCCTCAGTGCCCAGCAGTCTGACATGCAGAGGAAGATCATTATTCCATCTATTTATTTTTCTTGCCTTGTTGCACTGGTTATGTACTCTAGTAGGAAAAACATGTAAAATAATTGTTAGAGGAAAAGGAGGAAGGGACACACTTGTCCCTCTATCATACAGGCAGGGTAGCAGCAACTCACCTCAGCTGAGAAGTCCCCGTGGTGCAGGAGAAGCAAAGTGTCCCCAGATTTGGTAGAGTATGGAACTAGCTGGTCCCCCCGCTGCCGGGCAATCACAGTGACCTGGTCAGAGAATTTAGTGTCTGAGCTTAAGGGGATGATCAGAGGATCAGCACATGTTGATGCCCTCCCCTACCTTCTAACCCACCAGGTGTCAGCAATCCCTCTGGCACACGCCAGCTAGGGAAGGGAGCGAAGAGAACCAAGTGTCACCCGTGCCCAGGGTTTCTCTCTCCACTTGTCTACGTGGGGGTATATCAAACCTCAGGGGGTCAGGTGAGCTGGGTCATCCAAAGCTCCAGGGAGAACAATAGGCAAAGCAGGGGCTGGGGTGGGACTGCACATGACAGGGTCAGGAATGCAAAATTAGGCATTTTGAGATCAAAAATAGAGGGCTGGAAGGAGAGGGGCTGGATGTGATTGGAAGAACTCTCAAACCTCTAGAACTGCAGGGGTCCACAAATGCACTGCAGGGGACACAAACCTCTGAAATGGCTCAAAAGCATGTGTAACTATGTTTACATATGTGCGTATGTACAGATTTCATAAAGGAGGCTCCAAAGCATTCATGAGATTCTTCAAGGAATCCATGCCTAGTAGGAGTCTGCCCCTCAGAAGCCAGCTTACCACATGAGCAGGGCCCAGGTTGGGGTCATCCCCACTTAGTCCTGCATAGGAAAATGAGACGCGCAGGTCTCCCACCTGGAGGGTGGAAAAGAAGTGAATGAGATGAGCAGATCGGAAGCCACTGTCCTGGGTCTATGGGTTCTGTGCCAATGATGACATCAAGTCCCCTCATGCCCCCTTAGCACCTTCACACCTTTGCCCAGGATGTCCCATGACCTGGAACTCCTTTCCCCCTCCTCTAATATCCCAATTGGCCAAGTGAAACTGTGGAATCAACTGAGCCCAATCAGTCTCCAACAGGAATCTGACTCTTTTGTGTCATCCACAGAATGGTGCTTTAAGGCCGTAATCTGTGCAATGTAGACAGTCCACACCTGCCCATGTACCTCTGGATACTTGGGGTTCTCGCTATGATAGAAAAAGTCTCCCCGGCGGATGATGTCCACATGAGGGTCCTCCAGATTGGACAGGCTCAGTGGCTTGAAGTTGTCGACTTTGTCAATGAGGCCTGAGAGCAGCAGGTGCAGGTGGTTAGAACAAGCATGTATCAACTGAAAACCTCCAATCTCTGAACCCCTCCACCTGACAGCTGGCCTCACCTCACCACCCACCCCTCCACATACACACAAACCTCACAGCCCAACCAGGCTGAGACTCACCTGCTGAGAGGAAAAACCTGCCAATTTGGACAAACGGGGCTGTGGCTGTGAATGACTCCACTGCCATTGCACTGTGGGTAGAGGGAGATGTCAATGAAATGAATCACCAGGATGGGAGCTATCTGGATCTTCTTAGGGTGTGCTGGATAGGGACCCTAGCTGAGAGGCTCCAGCAAGTCCAGACCAGCCCAGACATGGCAGTTTGTCCCAACCCCAGGGGCTTCTGTCCCGACTCCACTGGGTTGAGCACTCTGCTCAACCCCAGAGTTTCATATCATCTTGCCTCAACCTGCAAGCCTATCCTGCCACACCCATCAGCAATCAGATCGATCCTGCATGGGAATGGAACTTCATTCCTCACTGCCTCCTCCCAGCCCCAGGTGCACCTGAACCCTGCTCTGCAGCATCCAAGACCCTTCCTAACATGGCCCTACCCATTGTTGCCTGCAGCACACATTCTAGCCATGCCCAGCACTGTTCCCCGCCTCACCACCCCCATGCCTATTCCTTCCTTCGTATACCCCCTGCCAGGTAACCTCCAGCTACAGAAATCCTCAGTAGCCCAGAAAGCTACTGCCTCCTGAAAGTCCTTCCTGATGGTCCTCTTACCTTCTCAGCCCCTAGCTGTTAACAAAATACTTCCCTGGCACAGTACAGTACGTGCAAACCCCTTTCAACGCTTATACCAGGCCTTGTGTTTAGGCCTCCTTTGAGGGGAGCTCATTTGGGACAATGAGCATTGGGTCTTGCCTCCCTTTTCTGTGCACAGGTCTCAGCCTAAATACCACGTCCCACATTTTCATCAACTCACAAAGCAAAAGTAACTCAACCTTGTTACTCAAAAGAAGAAACTGAGTCTGGAGGCCTGCCCAGGAGCAGACATGGCTGCTTTTAGCTCTTACCTGGGGTTTTTGTGGCCAATCTCTCGGTCAAAATTTTTGCTGTTGACGATTTCCGACCTCCATTCAGTATCTGCACAGGGAGAAGAAATGACTCAAATCATGGTTAAGAGTAGCTATGTGTCTTAGGCTCCAGGTCCTTTTATTCTAATCTACAATCACTGAAAGGGCTGAAGAGGTAGCTCCTGGAGGCTCATTCAATGAATGAGGAGACCCAGGCACTAAAGACTGGTGCCCAGGGAGTTCCCATGGCTCCACCCACAGTGGCTACCCTCTGTAATCAGCCCCGCCTACGGTAGAGAACACTTGTGTGCAGGGGACATACCCAGCACATCTGGGTGGGGAGGGGATGGTCCCAGTACTCACTGTAGGAGTACCTCGTCTCTGTTTTCACCTGCCCATCCTCAGTGTACTCCCTGCAGGGAAAGCACAGGCAGCCATGAATTAGCCCAGTCACTCCTGAGCATTCCAAGCCATGCATCTCCAGGTGGAAGCAACCTCTACCATGAAGTCAAATCCCAAATGGGGCAAAGCCTAGTCAGCATCTGCCCAGTAACAGGATGCTCACTCACTGACAAAGCCAGCTCCATCCCCTAAAGGCTCCAACTAGAAAAAAGTGCTTTCTCATCTGGAGCTGAAGCCTACCTCCACTAGGCTCACCTAAGGGTCCTAGCCTCAACCTCTGGGCAGAGATCCACCTGGCCCGTCTGCCAGATGATAGCACTACTAAGGGCCTCTGAACTTGTCCTCTTCCAAGCACCTTCCCACCCTTCTTCTCTCATGTCCATGTGGCTCAGGTGGGGCTGATGCCACCCAGCTCTAGGTCATGAAAGCCTTCTGGGACTTCTGCTGGGAGAGGCAGAATGTAAGCCTAGAGCCCGCTTCTGCTCCTCATGGGAGACAGGATGAAACCAACACAGCAGAAAGCTGAGAACTGACAATGGGGTGGGGGTGGGGGGGTACAATGATCGAACTGCATCATTTGAGGCCTGGATCCAGTCATGCCTAAGCCTGTGCATCCCCTGACTTCCAAGATAAGGGAGCTAATCAACCTCCTTTATTCTCAAAGCCACTTTGCACTAAACTGACACATCCCACAAAAGACACCTGACTAATAATTTTGAGATCATCTGAAATTTTTCTGACAGGGAGATTTTAAACTTTCCATTTCAAAAGTGTCAAAATGGAAGCCACTATATTCTATTCACATCTTCACCTCCTTTACTCCCAACTGACTTTTCACTTCCTGGTAGCTCACCTGGACTCTTCTGCTTCCACCCACTGGTACATCTCTACATGTCGCCGTAGTTTCACAGCTGGAATGTGCACCCCGTAGTTTGGATCAGATAAGAGCTTCAAAAAATAAAACAAACCAAAAAATAAAGGACAAGATTCATACCAGCCCAGAATTCCAGGCTTAGGGATTAGAAATCAGATTGGAAGAAAACAGGTACCAAGAAGCAAGGACAGTAGTGGCTTCCAGCCAAACAAAAGACAGGTATATGAGGTGAACATTTATACTAGGACGATACACTCCTTGGAGAGAACAATCACAGGAGAATAGAAGGGCTGTGTATGCACAGGGACACAGCTCAGGGGGCAGGAGTCCATGGAGGGAAGGACACAGGGAAGAGGTAACTATAGGAAGGAAGTGGGAGGGGAGCTGTTACATTGTGGTAAATTGTAGTCAACGTCATGACACAAAGTGTATCTGAACTCCTGTATGGAAAGTGAATTTGCTCTGTAAACTTTCAGGCAAATCACAATTTAAAAAAAGAATTAAAAAAAAAAGAAGCAGGAACAGAGAACAAAGACTTTTCCAGTCACTTCATGTGGGAGAATCCAGTGAAACTGTCCTAAGTTCTTAACCTCAATGACCATCATCATGAGCCTCAAGTCAGTCTAGGCATAATGGCAGGGTGCCAACTATAATGTACTCGGCACTCAAGAAACAAGAGAGCTCCAACAGCCAAAGTACTTGTGGAGCAGTGTGTTAAACATCCATAGCTAACAGTAATCATTAGGGCACCTACTGGTGAAGCTCAAACATGTGCCAGGCACTGAAGCTTATCTACTTAATCTCAATGACTCTTCAAAACTGGCATGTTACAATTTCTGTTACAATTATTACTTGTTACAGTTATTGTCCCCATTTTACAGATGAAGAGTTGATACTCAGGAGTGACTGGGCCACACAGCTGTGAGTAGTGGAGTTGGCCATCATCACTTTCAAGATGTGCAATCAGATGATCTCTAGCGGTGTGGCAGAGCCACCAATGGGCCGTGGCCATTGCCAAACCTACCTTGGACGTCCGCAGGGCCCCGATGATGTGCACCAGCCTCCCCTCGTTCTCTGGAGCCACACTGTGGATGCTGTCTGGGGAGACCACAAGAGAGAGCCCTTCAGCTAGGGAGGTCATCGTCTTCAACGCGCGACCCTGTGAGCAAAGGAAAGTGGGTATCACTAAGTCAGGGGTGGCTCAAAGCAGTTGTGCCTGCTGTAGACTATAGAGCATGATGGGCTTCAGGTAACACTGAGCCTCATCTCTCCATTTTACAGCTGGAAAAGTAAGGCACAGCAAGTAGCAGATCAGGATTGGAACCTAGGATCCCTGCTTTTCCAGGTAGACCTCTCCCTACCACTCTGTTGGTTCCCACCCACTCCCTCTAACCAATCTGAGCACTGACTTCATGTTGGGAATAGCTGGTGTTTCTCTCTGCCCTGGCCCCTTCCCCTATTTTCCTTTGCCTTTTCCACCTCTCCCCTACTCTCAGTCCATGTAGTTTTACAGAGGCTGATCTGAAATGCTGTCTAAATCATGAATAAAGACTAGCTTCTCAGAACATGTATCCCCTGGCCACGACTGGTGCACAAAAAGGACCAAGACCCAAGACATGACACTGAGAGCTGTCCCCAGAACTCTGGCTGAATGATTAAGAAATGGTTCCTCTTTTCTCTGCAGTTGCTGAACTTGTTGGATGTGACCCTAGAGTTGCTGAGGCCATCTCTGCCACCATAAAGGATGAGCCTTCCCAAGAACAATGCCACCACAGAGAAAATCTGCTAACAAATGGAGAAATGGAAATTCCAGGTGACCCAGTATGAATACCTGGATCCAACCAGGCCTGAAGCTGGTGCAATCCCCAGAATTTTCAGGCATGTGAACTTATCTGTTAACTTTCCTGCTTAGATCAGTTTTGAAGGGGGTCTCCACAGAAAGAATTCTGATTAATTCAGTACCCCTCTCTCTCTTTTGTAAAATATAAACCCTTTATTGCCAAATTTAGCTTCTGGATTCATAGCCTTAGCTCCCTAACTCTGAGGAAATCCTTCCTCTGTACAGATGGATCCTGAACATTTTACCTCATTGGTGAAAATTATGTAGAAGGAGAGCAAGAAGGTCATGAGCCCCACAAACATCCCACCGGAGGTCTCACTGAGCCGCTCCAGGAAGCCTGGCTGAGGGTTAGCTGTTGTTTTGATGTGTTCTCTTCTGTTAGCTGTACTGGAGTACTAAGAAAAAACAATGTATTTTTAAACATCAGAATGAGAGTTTGGTTTCTAAAAAAACAATCAAATTTTGCTATATATTTACTTAGACTCAGTTCACCTTGAGCTCTAATTTTTATATAGTAAAAATGCACAAATATTAAGTGTACAGTTTGATGGCTTTTGACAAATGTATATCCTGTGTGACTAATACCCAGATCAAGATATAGAACATTTCTACCACCCAAAAAGTTCCTTTGTACCCTTTCCTGTCAATATCCTCCTCTCCCTACCCCTGGGAGAAACATCTATTCAGATTTCTATCACTATAGTTTCGTTTTCTCACATAAATGGAATCACATAGCATGAACTCCTATCTATCTGGCTTTCATTCAGCATAGTGCTTTGAAGATTCATCCATGTTGTATATCACTGGTTTGTTCCTTTTCATGGCTATATAACATTCTACTGTGTGGCTTTACCCCACAATTTGATTATTCACTCATCCATAAATAAACATTTGGGTTATTTCCAGTCTGGAATATTATGAATAATGTGTGGACTTATGTTTCCATTTCTTTATTTACCTATCTTTCTACCTCTCTATTTATAGCGTTGCTCTGTCATAGGAAAGATGTTTAATTTTTTAAGAAACTGCCTGTTTTGGGAGATCCTATGTAGAGTGGGAGAACAAAACTCAAAATCATAAGAAAAGACCAGCTTTGCTGGTGTGATAGAGCTTGGTGAGACACCTGAGACTATGGCCTTCAGGGTCTGGAACTGAACTCACCCCTGTGACTTCCAGCTAAACAACAGACAGGCATATGGGGTGAACATTTACATCAGGTAGATACACTCCTTGGAGCAATCAATCATGAGAGAACAGAAGGGCAGTGTTTACACAGGGAGATAGCTCAGGGGGTGGGACTGCATGGGAGGGAAGGACACAGGGACGAGGTAACTAACAGAGAGAGCTGTTACATTATGGGGAACTGCAGTCAATGTCATGAAACCAAGTATGTGTGAAGGCTGTATGGAAAATGAATTTGCTTTAAAAACTTTCACCCAAATCACAATAAAAATTAAAAAAAAAAAAAACAAAAACTGCCTATTTTACAAAAACATTCCCAAGTCTTCTCCTTATATATAGGAAGCAGACCACATCCCAAAGGCAGCTACTCAGCTGCTTGTGGTAGATCCCACCATGGAGCTGATTGCCAGTCTCATCATGAGGAATAACTACCACCAGCTGCCCAGTCACTCAACCAGGCCCAGCCAAGGTGACACACAAACATAACTACCACACTGATGGCTAAAGTTGGTGCCAAAGCTGAGGTGAGCTGACAAAAGTCACAAAGACATGGAGAGATGGGTGGACAAGCTTAATGATTAGGTATGTCTGTGCAGGGGAGTGTGCCCATTACCATGTACAGGGTTGGCAGACAATGTTTCTACAAGTGTATTTGTATGTTCTGTAAGAATTCCCAGGTATATAGCAGAGCTGACAAGGGACAAGGTTGTAGTCACTTCTTGGTCACACCCAGCTACCCGGAAGGAGTTGGATCTGTGGGCTCAGGACCATGGCCACAAGGGACATCAAGCTCAATTGGTATAACATACTACACAAAAACATTGTTCCACATCCTACTTTGGCAAGTAGTGACTGGTATCTTAAAAGTTTGCAAAGCTTTTAAGTGGCCATCTAGATGCAACGATGAGTCTCTTTTCATCCAGAACAAAGAAGAATGAAGAAAACCAAAGACACATAGAAACAATTAGTCCAAGTGACTGGTACACCATGCGATCCTCAGCCTATACGACTGTGAGACCAAGAGAACTAGATGGTGCCTAGCTACCACTGTCAAACACTCAGTTGGGGATCTATGTAGGAGATCCTGGACAGAGTAGCAGAACAATGTGGACCAAAACTCAAAATCATAAGAAAAATAAAAGGGACCAGGTTTGCTGGTCTGATAGAGCGTGGTGGAACCCCTGAGTCTATGGCCCCTACCTGCCCTTCAGGTCTGGAATTGAACCCATTCCTGTGGCTTCCAGCCAAACAGAAGACAGGCATATGAGCTGAACATTTACATTAGACAGATACACTCCTTGGAGAGATCAATCATGAGAGGATAGAAAGGCTGTGTATGCACAGGGAGACAGCTTGGGGGTAGGCAGGAGTGCCTGGAAGGCAAGGACACAGGGAAGAGGTAACTATAGGGAAGAAGTGGGAAGAGAGCTGTTGCACTGTGGGAAATTGCAGTCAATGTCATGAGACAAAGAGTGTGTGAACTGCTGTATGGAAAATGAATTTGCTCTGTAAACTTTCACCCAAATCACAATAAAAATTAAAGATAAAAAAATAAAAAGTCACCAAGACATCAAATAGTTCTCAGATGAGCATCAGGATGAGCCAGGCCCCATCCTGCACTGGAGGGTAAATTGGAGAGATTCAAGACAGAATTTCTGCTTGAACAAAGGAAATGCCATATTTCTCTGGTTGTCCTTGAATGCTACCAGCACAGGCCTGCCAAGGATCAGAGGTCGACTGTGTCCATGCCATTTGGAAACATTGTTTTTGTTAGGTGCCATCGAGTCGTTTCCGACTCATAGCGACCCCATGCACAGCAGAACGAAACACTGCCTGATCCCGCGCCAGCACCATGATCCCTGCCTTACTTGAGCCCATCATTGCAGCCACCCTGTCAATCCATCTCGTTGAAGGCCTTCCCCTCTTTCATCGACCCTCCACCCTACCAAGCATGACATTCTTCTCCAGGGAATGGTCCCTTCTGACAACATGACCAAAGTAGGTGAGACCAAGTCTGGCCATTCTCGCTTCCAAGGAGTATT